GCAGAAAAAGAACGTGACAATTCTCGGTACATGGGATTTAATAAACAAACAATTTTGCTTAATTAAGTTTTTGATAATTCTAGTTATAGTTCCCGTGTTAACATATACTAATATATTATAATCTAAATTGTAAAATGTAATATTACATTGAGTAATATAAATGAATATTAACTACTTAATATTGACGAAAATAAGTACTTCACTTGTTGTGTTACGTCTCTTCAACTTGCATATGCTTTATGCTACATAGGACAACAAATTACTAGCATAGACTTCGAAGAATAACTAAATTACTTTTTCACGCCGCACTTTGTTTTGCATGATACTCATTACCGTCAATGAACAACCGTCTTTCTGTAAAATTTACACGTTTGCCTGACTTGTAAGCCAGGTTTATCACTAGCAAAATATTTAGTTTTGCTTAGTGGACTATTGGACCCAAATTCATGATCATGTCGGAATTATACAGGGCATTTATATTTTGTAGCCGCCGTTATCGTTTTAGTTTCAGAGAGTTATTTGTTCAGACTGCAATCCCTCTAAGACGCCCTGACGTCCAATCGCTGGAAAACTCAACTGCCTTCTCACATATTTTATTTGAGAGGGCTTATGCTTCTAACTACCGGAATGCTAAAAAAATAATCATAGAAATGTTTGTTCGCATTTGCATAACATCTTGTATTTTCCCATATCATATCAGTGACATAATTCAGTTCGAATTCGAGCTGTCTTACATATATCCACAAACATCGTGGCTTTGTCTTCTAACCGCCCCTTTTCTTGGTTTGTAATATTGCGGTATATTTGCAATATATGATATAACACATTCAAGACACCACTGATGGTAAAGTATTATTAAGAATGGCGATTATGGTGTTCAAATGCGATTTCATGCTCGATAACACATGGATAATAATCTTCACAAACATTAAGCTTCGAGCTAATTCATTATTATTCCACCAGTACATAAATCATGGATTTCATTTTAAGATATGCTATGCTATAAATCACATTAACCATCATATTGTAATCTGTATGTTTTTTTTTACACAAAATGCATGTAAAAAGTCTGACTGCAAATGTCACAAATACACGACACATTATCTCTTCTGTAAAAATAGATGAAGGTATACATCTACGTCGTTGTAAAGAGATAGTTTATCGCATCTGAAATTACATAAGAGAAATTATTCAAGCTAATCAAAAATAACGATACATCATTTGTTTGACATTCACTATCCCAGAAAACGGGCGTATAATTATCACTATCATCGCGGCCAAGCGGCGTCTATTCTTTATTCGCAGAATCCACCATGGATTAAGTTCCAGTAACTTTTACCCCTGGTAACAAATAATGTCATTAATTCGCAACATTTGACTTCGGCTATGGAACTCGGCATTATTTACCGTGATGTATTAACAACGAAATGCAATGTGTTATCCACGTATGTAGTAAATATTTAATTATGCAATATTCGCGAAAGAGGTACACCATTAGTGACATTCGTTTCTCCCACGCACGGGGCACGTGGCCATGGTGTTACGCGTATTTACTAAATGCAATTTTGAATGAAAATTTGTATCATGACATAACAGGAAACGACTAATAAATCAATAATAGTGTGTGATGGAAGTGCGATAACACAGTCTACTGATTCTCCTTTTTTCAATGAGTTTTGAAATAGCAATTTTATTGCGAATTTAAAATATGTTCTATATCATTGTACGGCTAATTCCGTTTCACTCTGATTGGCCCACAAATATTACCTAATAATTATTATACAGATAAATTGACACTCAAAGTAAACATTCCATACAACAGGTTAAATACTGACAAATGGTATATTATATGGCAATGTTGGAAGAAGTGCCACAATATAAATATGTCTTGCTCCCCAGTTCTGGCTTGTGAGCTTGTGCACACAAGACCAGCCGGTACAAGTAAATAAAGCTTTATTCAGCATCAAGAACTTTTAGCTTTTAAAATATTTGATGGTGAAATCTTACGAATTATAACGCATGAAAGCGAAATTTGGGGGTTTCATTTTGCAGATAATAGTGTAAAATATCGTTTGTCGGTTTAATCTGACGATATGTTTGAAATATGGCCGCGTGGTTTCAATTAGGTCGCTACTATAATCAAGTGACGATAATTTCAGTATAAAGAAGCAAAATAGGTTTAATATTTCTGGATATATTGTGTTACACAGTTGTTATTTTCTGTGGATATAGGTGAATCTAGGTATTATTATTATTATACCAGATATTCAAATCTCATATCTAAATATATATGTATTTCCCATGAAAAGTACAAGATAAGAAGTTGTCATTAAAAATGCAGATAGGCTGGTGACCTATTCTGTGTAAATAATATATAATAAAAATATAATTATTAATATTAAGCTTATCATGTTATATTCAGCCAATAAAGATGACGATGACGCAATTTATGTACGTTATAAGCAGACGTTCACCATGGGATTCTAATGCAAAATCTGAATAATGAGGTCATGTAATTGAGAATTCAAAACAGATTTTTAAAATAAAAAAAATATGGATGTAATATACTCCGTATGCTCTTATTCTATGCGCCATGGCAAATTTGGCAAATAAAATAATAAATGTTGACTGTTCACTCAAAAAGTTTCGAGACCGAACATATGATATTATAAAAAATAATTAATTCTGACGATAAGCCATATTAGTGTGCCACATTTGATTTGCTAAAAGTATGACACTTCTCCACCCAAAAATATATTGCCAGTTACATTACGTTATGAATTGTACTTTTAGTTTAATGAATGTGCCGGGAAACGCTATTCAGTATTAATGTACATAAAGCGAAACTAATATTCTGATACTTTGGATTTAAAGTACAACATAATCCTGAGGGCATATGGAACAGAAGTTGTATTGACATCACGAATATGTGCAATATATATTTTATTGTTTCAATAATTGATGGTTTATGAACAAAAATATTAGACAAGCTGGTTAGATTGTGTGACGTCCCATGACATAAATAATACTTTCATGAAATAATTCATGCTATGTAAAATTATAAAATATGATTAAAATGAATCTCATATACGTAAACGTGTGAGACAGGTGGCACCCTCAACTCGACGTAAATTCTCATGAAATGTGAGTACCTAATTTAATTTGCGATTGTGGTTTTATACACCATCATAAACAAGTAACATGCGTGCACATAGTCGAATGATATGAACACAAGGTAGACCATCGCTGCGTGGTATTCACGTGCATGTTAATGTGTTACAAGACGATAACGCTGTCTGGTGATTTCTTATCGGATGTGGTTAGTCAAGCGAACAAGAATTCGATTTGCCACGTAGTCAGGACAGGAAGGCAATTTCTCGCACCACATTGAATTATAATTCAGTGGTGCTTTAGGTTAGATGTAGGATTAGAGCGGTGGTGGCGACAATATTTTGAAAAGCAAATAAATGTTTCACGAACGAAGTTGAGATTCGTGCAGCGCAAAGGTAGCAGGATCTTATCACGTGTACTGATTTACGTTTATGTCGTAATTAAGTTTTATGTCGTAATTTAAGTCGTAATTTCGGAACTTTTGTTAACGTTACTATTATTAGCTGATTAAACAAAAATCCTATTTGAAATTCATTGAATCGTTTGCGGTGATTTAAAAACAATAACGAAATATTTATCGTAAAACACATTTGGAGGGAACCGTTAATTATACCGTGGCAAAGCTCTTGAACATATTTACGACACAATATATTTAATTATATAAATTAGAAATAAAACATTGAAATGGTATTTATATGTGTAATTATGAGGGGTGTACCATGTAGGTTGTGAGATACAATTCAGTAAACCATGTACAGTGGTGGCGTAACAACACATCGCATAGTTAACAATTCTATAAAGTTTTTGTTTTATTTGTAATTCATGGCGCCAATGACACCCTATTAGATGTGATCAACATGATGTTATCAGCAAATAAATACGGCCAATGTGTGTCAGCATCTATATTATAATTCCACATGATAGACAGTAAAATTAATAATTGCAATTGATACTTCCTCAACGCCCAGACGAGCATGACAACACTGCATACAGAGGACACATTTCATTTATCAACGATTAGATTTAACATTCCAGAACTTCATTTTTGTAGATATCGTGATAAAAACATTCCTCTTGATGACTATGAATTCGGATATTGTCTGGGTAGGTTGTTTATTTCTGTATGTTAAATATGCACACGTACTTATTTGTCTCATAGTATAATATTAATGAATGATACAGTTATCATTATCATCATCACTATATTTGTGAAATGTACATCATAAGACAAATTTCAGGATTGTTTGCCGGAAGCAGAACTACAAAATAGAAGTCTGTCAGTACTATAATATATAAGTAATGTTCTGTTCATTTCAATAACACTTAGGGAAGAGTATAGTAATAATGTGTCTTTTCCATGCTCAATATCACTCCTTTTTAAATCACAAATATATCGACGTGTTGTTGATGTGGTCATAATTTTATCCGTTCTTTACTTCCGAGACACATTTCTTAGACCACACACATTTGTGGCGGATGCCTATTTTAAGATGACAACGAAAACGTTTTAGTAACAACAAGTAGCGAATACACTGAAGTAACACATGCATTCAATTGTAGGAAGATTAACGAAACTGCACGCAAAGACGTGTCGCCATGCCGTCATTCATATTTGGCGTGAATTGAGTTAAGATTCATCAAGAATAGTCAGTTTTTTTCTAATGTATACATTTCTTCTTTCAGTTTTTTTTTGCGCTTAGAATAATTGATAATTTGAAATTACACATTTCAGAAAGCGCTACACGCCAGAATACAAATAGTTATATTCGCCTTCGTAAATACAAATACAGATATTAACTATTTGAATTCTTGTTTAAATGTTTGTCTTCTCACATAGATTGCATTGGTTAATCATGGATAACGAAGGGAACGATTATCTCGGAGAACCTGAAGACTACAGTTATGATTATAATGCACTTATTGCCAGAGCACGCAAACTAGACACACCACCATCTGTAACTCTGGCTTTCGGAGTCCTCTTCACGGTTATCATAATTGTTGGAAACATCTGGGTTATAATAGCCGTTTTTAACCAGCCGAAACTCAGAAAGTCAGCAACGAATTTGTTCATTGTCTCGTTGTCCGTGTCTGATCTCATGGTGGCCGTCTTTTTCATTCCGTATCATGTAGCTTTTTACGCATATAACATTCCTATTAGGAATTCCGTGTTTTGTAAAGTTACGGGATACCTTCATTGGGCATCTCAGTGTGGGACAACGTTTTCGTTGATATGCATTGGGATAGACAGATATCGTGCCATTGTACAGCCCATGCGACCGAGACTGACTGTACAGCACGCTGCTATCGGGTGTACTGTTGTCTGGATGTGCGCGTTGGGTTATTCTTCGTTTAAACTCTCTGTCAACGACGTGATATTTGACAATCATACGACATCTATACAACGTGGCAACGACACGTTTTACGAGTACGAACAAGTATACTTCTGCCACGTGGCTGATGAGGACACCGATCACTGGTTCCGATTGGCAGATCTGATCATAATGTACACCCTTCCACTTCTAATATTGACAATTTTATACTCAATCATGGTATTCACTTTATGGTTCAGCAAATCGCCGACGAATTCCAGCAGTCGTAACAAAAAGAAAGCCGTGAAGATGCTGAGCTTCGTCGTGCTACAGTTCGCACTAACGTGGCTCCCTAACCACACGCTGCAGTTCTATTACACTTGGAATACGACGTACCCAAAAAATGAATTCGTATGGTCCAATGTACCCTCTAATTTAGCTATTTTTATCTTTGTCTGCAATAGCTGGATAAACCCTTTCCTTTATGCATATTTTAATGAAAACTTTAGAAAAGAGTTCAAGAAAATGTTCCCATGTTTTTACAATTGTCGTAATTCACGAGTTGCACCCGAAGATACGGGAAATGTGAGGTCTGGCCCAACTAGTCAAACCCGTACGGGTTTCGGTGTTAGAACCCAGGTTTCCATCGTCGGCAACACAGTGTCGTGATGTTTTGCCTTAATTTAGAGTAATCATACTGTACTAAATGTACTAGTTGAATTCTCTGAACGTTGAGTGATGCATGATATACAAATATTGGTGCACTTATTGAATATCATTCATATAACACAATGTGTTCATTAGCGGGGAAAAAAAAACAGATCTATAATATGAGTTATATTGTTATAATATTGTATTTTATAAATTATCCCAATAATCATAATAAATTTGATATTGATTTTATTATAGTAAATGCTCTATTTTTATTGTCTTTAAAATTATTGAAGTAAATTTGATGGAAATAAAATAATTTTACAAGTATGTGTCAAAACTCATAGGCCACCTTCAACGACATTATTATTAATGAAGCATATATTTGTTGATATCTTTATCTGATTCATTGTAAGTAATGTTGAAGTAGACATTTATTTGCGATTTATGCACGGTAAAGTCATTACTCCCCTGTGTAAGACTAATTTCCCAGAAAAATGAAAAATTGTTCCTTGAAAACTAACATTCCATTCAATTTATATTTTAGTTAAGTTAATGCATTTTGTCAGACGTAATGAAATGTAACGTAGCGTAACTTAATGTAATTTGTCAATAGATTTTACCGTGATTATTTTTCAAACGACGTACCATTTTGACCTGTTAACAATTAAATGATTAATGTTAATGGAAGAAGTGTTACGCGAACAACACATGTTTACACTATGTGAGACAATTACACATATACGTTAATTTATGCTAATTTTATGTATGACTTGTAAACATTTTGAAAACAATGAAACCGATTAGGACTATATCATATTTGTAGAATTAAGATTTGCGATAATAAACATCGAATGGAATTCTTTTTAACAATATTGCCGTCCACGAAGAGTAATTGAGTTATTGGCAATTATTTTGCTATATATCGCTTCAGAGCTTAATATATTTACTGACATCCACAACTTTTATTAGTCTGTCGTCAATGTTAATAAATAATACCCACACTTTATTTGTGTGTGGTGTCTGCCATAATATCGTCCTAATTAGCATTAGCGTTACACATATTAATCTACTACAATTAGATGATCTTTGTTGGAAGATTTTTCTATTTTGCTATCTGGTTTAACCGAGGATACACCGAATTTAATCGGATCCTAAAAATTCTGATCGGTGATCGATATTTCGCATTTGTGTGTCATATATTATCGCGGATAAGCAATAATAATAATAAATAAAAACAAAATGAATAAGTTCAATTACAGATATCATATTGTGTTAATAAGTCACCAATTCCTGGTTTATATTTAGGCGACGTAACTTATTCAGACGAGTTTGCAATTACAAATAAAAATAGGCAACATCAGTAATGCCAATAATGTTGTTTTATTTAAACCGGGTAATGTATTAGCACGTCAATTAAAAAAAACACAATAAAACAATAATCAGTTTCATTTATAAGTGTACGATACTATTGTAAATTCCACCCACCTTTCTTTTTTTCAGGGTAGAGTTGCAGTGTCGATATAAATGCAATATATAATGAATGATAGTATTTTTTTTCGATATTACATAATACATCTATGAATTATTTAATACCTTAAAGTCATGTGGTGACAATTTTGTTCTCCGTCTCGTAATTGCCATCGGTGCAGCAATATAATATCGATATAACATTAATATTTCAAACTATCCTCGTCTTTTTAAACAGTCTAATACATGTACAAAATAAAAGTACACTATGCCAATTTAGCACTATACATTTTACTCTGCTGTAGTTGCTGGTATCAAATAGCACACATTGAGAAAAACTCTTGTTTTTGCGCAAATTCTTTTTAGCTATCTATATTCATTTTTGGTCAATTACAAATTTCGTGGGTCGATTATTTTTCTTCTTGTTGAATGTCTAGTGTTGAGCAATCTGTGCATTGTTGTTGAAATACAATATAGAAATAATTTAGGGCCGGCTGGAAAATAATTAATGGCGCCGCCTTCTGTTCTTCTGTGGTGTGATAGACCAGCGTTGACAGACCATACATGAAAACGGTATCGAACGCTGAAAAATGTCGGAAAATCCAAACAACAATGCACTGCCTGGCAATCAAGTGTATTCTGTTGTTAGTCGGTTCTGAATAATTTATGCTTACACGCATGCCATATCAGAGGTCATATTTCTGGTCATGCACATAAACTAGATCGCGCGAGGTCAAGTGACGTCCGCGTGTTTATTGCCCGGGTCACATATTAGCATATTTAATTAAATTGGCGACATATTCCTTAAAATTTAAATGAATTACATTTAACAGGCTTCAATCTCTTTCGTTATGTGTGAACAATGAACAGTTATGCTTTAATATTAATCCAAATAAATATTAAATACAAATATAGAGAAATATAATGTTTACTTACTTACTTACTATGTACCCTGAATTATGCCTTAAAATTTGCGGGCAAAATTACAGACGCAGCCTGAGTGTTCTCAGAAGGAACGGGGAAACAGTCGAAAATGAGTATATGGAGTATACGCAACAAATCTGGTTGTCTGTACGGTTCGAAAGCTTTCGTAATAAATCGGATCGATGTTGACCCCGTAATAGTCTATTTCAAGAAGCAACAATGATGTTTTTTTAAATCGTAATTGTTAATTGAAATCAAAAATTAAATTGTGACTGTGGTATCGAATACATGTATGCATAGATATGCTTCATATATAAGTCCATCATAGTGTTGAGGCACTGTGTGCTACAACGTCACTGCTAGTACATTTCCTTAATATAACTACATATCGAATAAAAAATACATTGCCAACACTATTTTCAATTTTTATAAGGCAACACAACTATCATTAAACTTGGGGTTATTTGATATTCACAAATCAGATAACCGTACACTCTTCAGAACAGAGAATAGTGCACAATTAACTGTACTAGAAAGAATGTATGTCCCGTAAATACACATACGCTGCACCGACCGATAGTCCTCCCCCGTATTTTGGGAACCAATTGTACCGATCTGTTAACATACAACAGAGACTTGATAAATGTATTGCGCGATTGTTAGCACACACCTCACAAGATCCACTAAATATTCACGATATAACAGTCCTTGTAGATAGGACATTTGTTTAATACATAAAGTATTATCGAGAATTATATACAGATGTTTATCCGTGGGGAAAAACGAAGAAACTTCAAACTGCGTTTCACGTAAACGTTTGATTGTCGTGAATTGGTCACAGCGCCCTCACACCGCATCGGAGGGATGTATACTTTTCTCTTACGCAATAGTGACAATAATATCATATATCCGGATATTTATTCGTCTGTCACAATTGTGAAGGAACAACACAAGATTCCCCTGCTAATATCGCCGTGTTGGTGGAGCGGATGGAGATAATATATAACGCACTGACAGTTCAAATAAATATCGCGAATTCGTGAGGTAAAAACCGAGGATTAGTTCAGATTCTTCGTGCACAAGACTGCTAGCAACATACATGGGCGCCATCAAGTAAAAGACGTCTTTTCTCATGTTATTAATTCAGGTCTTTCCTGCAGACGCTTGTGTGAGGTTGTACATGAATGAATGAATGAATGAATGAACTGATTGAATGAATGAATGAATGAATGAATGAATGAATGAATGAATGAATGAATGAATGAATGAATGAATGAATGAATGAATGAATGAATGAATGCAATAGTACTACCCTAATTGCATTACAAAATAATTTCAAACATGACTTTCATGTAGAGCTTTCACAGGATTGTGTACTATTCATAATACCCCAAGAGTATTTCCCAGCACGCCGCTGCTGTTATTTAATTGAGCACGAAAGTGATACTCAATACATAAGTATCTGTATTATATTCAATTATAGAATGCCGTTGACATATTCGTCAAACCTTTACCACGTCTTAGGCGCATAATACCTGTGTTTCTTATTCTGTTCAACTAATTGCCAGCTGAAGTTATATGACGTTTTCACCAAAGTCTGTTTTCGTAATGGTTTCAAATCCGTAATTACGTCGCCGACATATACGCTTCGATTGTACTGTAAAGGGGGGTTTCAGTAATGGGTTCTCTTGCAAATCAGTCATTAGCTCTCGTCTATTTCATTCGTATCGGCTGCAAATAGTTAAAATCGCTTACCCTCGCGTCGAACTTAAGATGGCAGAATGCCGGGAATGCTGATCGCTCGCAAACCGGTTCCGACAGTTTCCTGCAAGAACGTCTTGGAACCAAAATAGTTCTTGTTTTAGTTTTTTTTTGTTTTTTGTTTTTTGTTTTCCCATACGCGATTGCGTTATTTACTTAGCGGTAACCAAGAAACAAACCTATGTCTAAAAATACTTATATAATAAATTGGGAAAGTCATGTAAAATTGAAAAAAAAATACTATTAATGATCCAGTTCTGAAATAGTTCGTTCTGACGTGTTATCTAGTCACATTTTAACAGTTGCTTCACACGAGTAGTTACACCCTACTAACAAGGAGACTATCGTATGGTCTGTGATTGGATTTAACTCCAATCGGTCGGCAATTGCAAACTCCTACCTGCAACCGAGTTATATTTTAACTTTCAAATCAGATATTCATATTTTTTGTTTAGTTAACCGTAGACATTCAGACAATTGCTATAGGCCATCTGTCATATTCCAATGTAATATTCGATTGTTGAACGCCAAAATAAAAAAAAAAACATGACAACAATTGAGTTTTTATATTTTTCCCGACATCGCGGCATGAGCAAATAATGCTTCAAACATATAAAAGGATTGCCAGTGCTTGAAAAGGATTGCAAATTGATGACCCTCCAGACGTCTTATCCATTATTATAAGACGCTATTTGACAGGTGTACGCTATAACTATCCTCGCCGGAGGCTCTACTCGATCGGCATTTTCCAGGGATACATCTCAACGCGGCTCTCAAGCGTTAAACATTGACATGGCTTCATATGTGGAAATAAATTCGACGGCTGCTTTGGAACTTTTTGAAAAAAAAACAATTTTGCGCCC